TCAAAACCTGGAATACATGCCTGAAGGTCTGCCACTGGTCCAGAACTTTTGACAAGGCACAGAACAGCTCAGTTAAGTTTTGCACAAATTCACATCAATTGGTCTGAGCAAGATTGGATAAATTACAAGTTTTTGTTTGAAGAGCAATATTTCCTCACATTTTCACTCCGAAGAAGCCGTGGACGTGGTAGTATTATCGTTTGGGCACGCATTTCTAAGGATCATCACACAAACTTGATCCTCATCGAGTGTTCCCTCACATCTGCGTGATACATTGAAGTTGTGTTATCCGAAGTTCTTCCTTATTTGCCACTAATATTGGGTATGGTTTTATTTTTATGCATGACAAAGGAAGGCCCCACACAGCTAGGATCATCGTGATCACTTGGAAGGGCTTTCATTCAATGTTTGGAGTTGACAGCATGTGGTCCCGACCTAACTATTAAACACCTTTGGGACAAGTTGTCAAAGAGGGTAAAAAGTTGCCCAGTGGGGCCAGAGAATTTTCAGAAATTAAGAATGGTGCTGTTGTAGGAGTATGAAAATGTTTCACAGCACTACATTCAAAACCTAATAAAATCGATGCCAAGCGGTAATCATTGCAAGAGGAGGAAATATTCCGTATTGAATTGAATATTTTCTTCATTTTTCCTTAGCATTATTTTTGGTGAAATTGTTTTACTCAGTTTAATTTTTGATTTGTTTTTATGACGAGGATAGCCACTTTTTTTGCCTCAGTGTATTTGACTGCATTCCACATAGTCACTTTCTTCAATGATTAACTGATAATATTATAACATAATACATAATAATTTGTAAGAATGTAATATGAACATCAATGTATCAATGTACTATTTATTATGAATAAAGCATTGAATTTTTGGTAAATATTTATTGTCTTTTTTTTAAGATTTTTTTTAAACAATCTGACAGTAACTTCATGTTGTTATGTGATATAAATATATATATAAAATCATATGTTGGTAATATTGTTATTCTATTCTGTAGGTTGTTATTAAAATTTATTTTATTGTCTCGTCTCACTCTATTCCACAGACAGAGAAGAGCAAAAATACACTCCTCTTTCTTATTCAGTTAGTTTGACATAAAATACCCAGTTTCATGGAACATTTGCACCCCGAAATCGATAGTTGTTTAAAAAATACAATTACTTTTTAATAAAGTGTGTTTTTTGTGGTCTCCGTCTATGTAATAGAGTAGGACCCAACTTTCTAAGTTTTTGTAGGGTGTTGGGGTGCTTTTGGAATAGGTGTCAGAAGACTAGTATTTGTAGTATCGCTTTGTCAGCGTTACTGTGAGCGCTGTTTTTCGATTTGACCTTTTGAAAAATATTAATAAAAATATATGTACATTGTCTTCTTAATTCACCTTTTAATTAACGCAGTAAAAACGAAAACTGGGGTTTCCATTTTCGTGGATCTCCTCACGTCATTACCGCGGATATTGGAGGTTTTAGTACATTCTTTTCTAGTGCGTTTGTTAAACCATTAAATAAATTTAAGATAGTTTCATGCTGAAAACCTGAAACGGATGACGTTAAATCTGGATATTGTATTTAAAAATTTTTTACACGTGTCCGTAGACGTCGTACTCGATTTTACATGCCCCCCTCCACGAAATTTGCAAACTTTATCGTTAATCATAAAATAATAATAAACCAGTTACCGAATATTTTATACATGTTGGATTTTTGTTATGGTTAAAAACAAAAAACTAAAAGTAGTAATAGAATTATTGAATGTAAAATGTTTCATTAGATTTTAATGGCATTGGTTTTTACCACTTCTCAGTTTGGTTGGTGCGACTGTCAGTGGTTTCTGAAGGGACCGAAGTTCTGTAGAAGAGTAATTTAGACACTACATAGTGAGTTTTTGAGAAACTGTTTTTGGGCTGGGCTCCACGTCGTTTTCCGTCTGAAAACGAGATTTGACATCGACGCGAGTTTTTGTGAATCAAGCCGAATTCCGACTACTTGACCGTCTGAATAGCGAAAGCCGGTCGAAGGCTAGATCCCAGGCAAAATGACTGCTCATGATCAAATTAAAGCCATGTTAGACCAGCTCATGGGAACCGGTAGAAATGGTAAGTCGAACCTTCATTTCACAGCTCATCCTCTTAATTTACAAGTTGGATGTCTAAACTGTCCCGAGTGAACATGTTTGACAAAAAAATTCAATCATTTGTGAAAATAACAGCTTCATTTCGCAATCCGGCCACGTTCTGCATGGTGCATGGAGTCCGTCGTATTACAACGCGTAACGTTTCAGTTTATCGTTTAACTTTTTCTTTCCGCTCTTTGAAAACGGACGTTCGATCATAATTGCACTGGGGATGTCCCCCTAATATTACCTAACGATGTGCAATGGTTTTTATACGGAATGTAATAAAATTTATTTTAATATTAGCTATATCAAAGCTCGATAGATGAAATTGCCGAATCCAGACCCCCCCCCACCAATGAAATTTATATAATAATAAATTTATCCTTTCATGTGATTTAAAACATAAGAATTTATAAAAGCTGACAACGTGTAGAATTATTTCCCTAATTAGATTGATATTTGTCAAATGGCAATTGCTTTTGGTTGATATGTTTAAACAAATAAATGACCCCAGTTCTAAATAAAAAGTACAGCTTTATGATTAGATTTTTTTTCTTTAATCTCGTTTAAATTTTATTTGGGTTAGTATGAAGAAAAATAGACAATTTCTTTGTAAAGAAACCTTTTCCTCAGTACGATGCCATATTTGCCATTTAAGAAATGGAACGACTTTCCAATGATATAATAAAATAAACCAATCGTACAAGTAAATTTTGAGGCAAATGATCTCAGCTCCTTGAGGAACCGAAGGTTGAGTGTTAGATTGGGATCCGTGCTCTCCAGGGACTTGGTTTAAGAAAATGGATAAGCGTTATACTTTTCTCGTTCTCAGCTGAAGGTGCTGCGGTAAGGTAAGGAGTTGGTGAGGTTTTGTTTGATCAAAAGCTCTCTGCCTTGACCTTGCTTTATGGTTGCATGGCCTATTCTTCAGCCCGAAAAACACACTTGCGGAGGGTCAATAAGCTCTACTATCAGGATCTTCGAGCGTTCTTTGGCCAGCCTGTGCTGCAGTTGGGAGTGCCGCTGCCCGAATTTTGAGGGAGCAGCTCACCCTCAGCAATGCAGTGGGGTTCCTTACCAAACAGGGACATATGCTTTTGGGTGCAATTATTCTTACATGTCAGTAGATAGAATATACGAGCAACTTAAGAATATACATAACCTCTAGGAAAATACTTTGACGACGTTTTAGGGAAAGCAGGGTTAATACTTGGAATGGCACTTGAGCTGGGCAAGTGGCAACCAATCTTGGTCCTTCCAGCCATACTCGTCCAGGAACATCTTGCTCTGTTCAATTTCCCATACTGATATTCCCATATAATCCTCACACCGATGTCCAGTATAACTTTCAGGCTTGTGTACAAATATGTATCTACATAAAACATTGTCTTTCAGGTGAGAACAATCGCTACCATGTCAAGTTTTCAGACCCAAAAGTCTGTAAAAGCTTCCTACTAGGTTGCTGTCCCCATGAAATCCTATCATCCACCGTAAGTATCTGGGCCATCCTTTTATAATTTATTAATGATTTGTTCACCTAATGCCAAAACATTCAAGTTTGATTTGCTTTCTTGTTAGTATTTAATCAGGACTTGTTGGCAAATTTATTGGTTTTGGTCTGTAAACAATCTCATTTCTTGTATTTGTTTGTAGGCCTTAATAAAAATAATTTGAATTCTTTTATTATGGCCATTTGTTATTCTTAGATTCAGTTCTGGCAATGCATTCAGCCAATGGTTTCTCTTGACCTATTTTGGTAGTGGCATCTATCTTAAATATTTTCTCCATTTTGTTTCTACTTTGTAATGGTTTGTTGTTTCTTTGCACTGGCGTTTGATTGTTGTGTTAATGTTCACAGTTCAAAAACCACCATAATTATTTTCATTAATTTGTGAAGTAGGAATGTTACTTTTATTAGTTCTATGATATTGTTTGCAGGAACAAAAACAAAAAGTTTGTCTAAAGATGAAAGCTATTCTAAAAGGTCAATTCACATCAGTTCATTTAAAATTATATGAACAGCCTGCATTCTTCAAATCCATTATTCATGTTGTTTATGTTATGTTATGTTCCATTATTTTTTTACATTCTATTGATTTTTTTCATCATATTTTCACCATTTAGGATTGTGGAGGATAAGTTTTCCAGGAGTTGTATGTGAATGATATGTTTTTTAGTATAGGTCGTTGAGCCTCACCATTATTGATTATATCCACTTAATGGTGTTAGCTTGAATTTTTTTAAATAGTAATATGTAGTGTTAATGAATTAATTTGCCATAGACATTTATGATATTTTTCAAATCAATACATTTTTAGGATATAACTCTTGGATTTAAACTTTTCCAACTTACACAATTCAATACTCATAGCAGGATATATTGTTACACAGTGAAATGTGTAGTTCCTTTTTCATTATCCTATTGCCAACAGTTGCTTTTGGTCTATGTGTTTTTCAACATTCCACCATCTTCAGTGGTTAATCAGGGTTGTTTAATTTATGCATCTGTAGTTAAATTGATGCAAACAAACCTGTCACTAAAGATGCTAAATGTCAAAACATAGCAAGGAAAGGCAAGAAGAAATCTTTCTGTGAACTTCACTTAAATAAAAAGAAAAGTTTAAAAAAAGCTAGGAAAAAGGTGCTTTGGCTAGTTAGTTTGTTAGATTTTTTATTTTCTTTAATGACACTGGTCTGAATTACTTTTTAGAATATCTTTTTGAGATCTAAATATAAGAAATTAATTTTCTTTTCTTTAGTATTTGGATTTTTTTTTAAATTTCTGTAATCCTTAGGTGAGGAATTGTTTGGGGCACACACCTCATGAAGATGGTTAGGGCGTAAGGATTTAGTTAGTTTATATTTAATTACCTTAAATAATATAAATTAATTATAAGTTTAGTTTGTAAAAGTGTGATTAGCAGTCCATTTGGGTATTATGGTACGTAAATGCAATATTTATTACAAAATTTTAACTTGTAATATGAAAAAAAGAGGAAAATAAAAATTAAGAGAGGAAAATATTGTTGAGGTGTTGGGGCTGAGTAATAGCAATTATTTTGTAAGTATAATAAGTGCATGCCACTATCAAACAAATCAAATTTAAATTTTAGAACAATCCCAATTTATTATTTTCAAAAATAATAAAATAATAACAGTACACAACCAAAATAATAGAGGATAAAAATGATTGAACCTATTGTCCTGTAAGTATTATTCAGAAAAGTATGTACAATTGTGAAATTAAATTTAAGACTTCAACTAAGAAGAAAACTAAAGGAAGAGGGAAGAATCCAACATTTGTTTGTGAGTATTCGATTCGTCTTCGCTATAAAAAATATAAAAAAAAAAATTTAAAAAATTCATGTTAATAAAAAGGCAAACTTTTGAATACCACTGAATCGAACTCGGTACGTATTGAATATAAATTATTAACAGGAGAAAGACAAGATAAACTGACCAAAAAAAGATTGAAATGATAAATAAGAGAAGAGCAAGGGAGCAATTTTGTTGTAATTGCCTCATCATCGAGGAAACTGGCACATAATCCATCGTACGTATTGAATTTGTGTGAAACAACCAAAACCAAACCAAAAGTGTTGTCTAAAATTTCAAATTATTTATAAACACTTATAGGGGATTTAAAGATAGAAGAAACAAGTTGATGGAGTTTCTCCTCATGTACGTGATCAACAGTTGTACACCGACTAAAACAAATGAGCTCTCGCGCCCTTCCCCCCGTAAGTCAACTACAAATTTTGAAACCTATTTTTCTATCTCTTTATTTTATAAATTTATATTTTCTGTACCCAGTAAATTTTCATCTTACTAAACTAAAAACAAAAAAATTAATGTTTTGTCCCAGTTTCTCCCAAAATCAATAAGAAAGAAAATTGTGTTTAGAAACGGCAGATATGAAATATTTTCCTCTGTTATATACAATCTTGTACCTAGCGGATGAATCACCCAAATTGCCACACTTGGATCTTCATTTTATGGCCTTTATCATCCGTCTTTATATATTAAAATGTTGTATGTATTCATTTTTATATTTATCTTATAATAATTTGTTACTTGTTTTTATTTAAGTGTTCATCAGAATGTGATTTATTTTTACAATTTTGTAGATTTGTAGAATTAAACCTACAATGGGATGCTTCACGATTTTCCAGAAATAATGATTTGCTTGTTTATTTACTTACAAAAATTCATTTAGTTAAGTTGACACAATCTCAGTTTCAATGTAACTATTAAAATTGAACTATTTTGAACAGATGTATTTAACTCTTCCAGAAGAATAATAATTGCTCTCCATTCATAGTAGCTCATTTTTTGGGTTAAGTTGAATTACAGTTTTTTGCAACTGAATTTTAGTTTACTTAAAATTTAAAAAAAAGTTAATATATTTTAGAAAACTTTTTTAGTCTTTAACTTTGTTCTTATTTCTGGAAAGTTTTTTAAATTATGTATAAAATGTTATATCAACATTTGAAAATATTTATGGAGGATAAATCACATTCTCGATTATAGCTTTCATTTCACTAAGCTTTATGATATTTGTTTCCTCCTTTTTATTAGTTGATTTTAAACATTTTTTAAATACACATTTTAGACCTGTCCTTAAGAAAACTGTAAAGAAAAAATACAAATTTTGTGGATTATTTCTTTTTTTTAATTAATAAAATAATTGTTTAAATGAAATTAGAATTGCACTGCAGAGTATTTTGTTTTTAACTTATTACTTGATAGAATCATAGATCGTTATTTAATATTAGGGCAAAGAAGCACTGAAATAATTATAAATTTTAAAACCAAGAACAGTGTTTCTTTCAGTCCTTTAGTTGTGTGTGTTTATTTTATTTAAATTTTATCCTTTTATTAGCTAAAACTCAAAAATTAAATTCCCTTGAGGGGAGTAATAATTTTTATTAACTTTTATTTTTCCATTTTAAATAATGACTTTTGATTGTATTTTTAGAGAATGGATCTGGGTGAGTGTCCAAAAATTCATGATTTAGCATTAAGAGCTGATTTTGAGAATGCTTCTAAAACAAGAGACTACTTCTATGACATTGATGTAAGTGAGGAATAGAAAATATAATTTTTTTTTTTTTCTATTTCAAATGTTCATAAAATGTAAACTTTCAACAGGCTATGGAACAACTTCAATCCTTCATTACTGATTGTGATAGGAGGACAGAGGTCGCCAAGCAGCGACTTCTTGAAACACAAGAAGAATTGTCGGCAGAAGTGGCAGAGAAGGCAAAAGTTGTCCACGAATATGCTGAAGAGATAGGGAAAAAATTAGCAAAGGCTGAAGCACTCGGAGCTGAAGGACTCGTAGATGAATCACTGAAATTGATGGGAGAGGTAATTTGTTGTTGCAAAAATATTATGCATATTTGTAATGTATTATTTTTTATTCTTTGACACAGATTGAAGATTTGCGAAAAAAGAAAAATGAAGCGGAAGAGATATACAGGAATTCTATGCCAGCCAGCAGCTACCAGCAGCAGAAATTAAGGGTGTGTGAAGTATGCTCAGCATATCTCGGAATTCATGACAATGATAGACGTCTCGCCGATCATTTTGGAGGCAAACTGCATCTTGGATTCATTAATATACGTGAAAAGCTTCAAGACCTTCAGGTAAAATGTTATAAATAAAACTGCAAACATTTACAGACTTATTTAATATTATTTGTCCATTCCAGAAAACTGTTGAGGAACGTAGGAATCAGAGGAAGGCGGAGTCCCGTGAGAGAGATAGAGATAGGGATAGGGATCGTGAAGACAGAGATCGCATGCGTGAGAGAGATCGAGATAGAGATCGTGATAGGTCTTACAAGAGGTCATCAAGGTAAGTTGAAAAGGAATAAACAAACAGCATTCTTTATCCAATTAAAAACAATAATTATTCTGCTACATCATGAAATAACTCTTGTAAACACAGGAATAAAAGTAAACCACAATCATAGGCAAACTGTGATTTATGGTGTGATTTATTCAATAAACAATATTGAATAAATATATTAAATTTTTACCGATTGGTCCAAGACCGGTGATGGTGTGGCATGTGCTGTGCATAGCGAGGGAGTGGCCACCTTCTGGTCATTGCCCCCTCGTTGCAGCGTATGCACGGCAGAGCTGTATGTGATTTGGCACGCTCTCGAGGTGGTGCGGACCGGGGAGGGCTCAGCCTTCCTCGTATGTACCGACTCTCTGAGTGCTGTCTGGGGTATGCGACAGTTCTCTGTGGACCCTCTCGTCGTGCTCTTGTTAGAGAAATATGCGGAGCTGGAGCCTCTCGGAAAAACGGCGGTTGTCTGGATTCCCAGACACGTCGGCCTGGAGGGTAACGAACACGCGGTCAAGGCGGCAAAAGCCGGTGCGTCTCACCCTCCAGATTGGACCATCGCGATTAGGCCCCCTGACGCTAAACACGCAGTAAAAAAAGTGATAAAAGAAAGATGGCAGTGTCAGTGGGCGTGCTCATCCGAGGGGCCCTTGCGAGTCAAGAGCACGACCAGTAGCTGGCCCTGAGCAGGAGACAAGGGTCGTCCTCACCCAACTGAGGATTAGCCATATGCAGTTGACACACAGGCACTTTTTTTTTTTCTCCCTGTGGACATCAGGGACTGGAGGAGTTCCCTCCTGAGCACTGCAGCTGAGCTGTACAGCTTATTGTACTTTATCCCTGGCTCCATATTTTGGGGGAGGGCTCGCAACACAAATGTGAACCTGAGCCCCCGTTGTACTGGTGTTATTCCATCGAAGAAACTCATTTTTGAAGGTGGTTGGGACAAAAATTCAAGGTCGCTGACATCTGATCCCGCCCCTTCCATTGACGAGTGCTGTGTCAATTTCTTTCAATTGCGGCCACTGGTCCGACGGTGGGGATCGAACCCATGGCCACGGGATCTACCGCGGCCCCAAATCTAGATTAGTTTGAGTATAATAGGAGGAATATCAAATACTCCACCAACCAAACGGAATGAGTGTACAGTATGGATGTATTTATGTGTATGAATGTATTTATTTGTATGAATGTAGTGTTTGAAAGGGTTAATAGAATGTAGACTTAGTTGGGGGCTCAAATAACCTAGATGTCGGAAGCCCCAGTCAAAAAAATAAAATAAATAACAATAGTAATAAAAAACAATAAATAAATTACAACAAAATAGTGAGGATTCACTGACACCATTCCAACTATGGATGGTGTTTGAAAGTAGGCCTCTCAACAAATTCTGAAAGTTAAATTTATTTTATAATCTCCATTATGTAATCATATGGCCTATTGAAGCAGTTATTTAATTAATAACATCCATTATTTAATCAATTGGCCCTTTGAAGCGATCATTTGAGTTCAAGAAAATTCTGATATTGTTTTTTTGAAATTATGATTGCAACAAAATAGTGAGGATTTGCTGACACCATACCAACTATGAATGGGGTTTGAAAGTAGGCCTCTCAACAAATTCTCAAATTTAAATTAATTGTATAATCCCTGTTATTTAATCAATTGTCCCTTTGAAGCAATCATTTGAGTTCAAGAAAATTCTGATATTTTTTTTTTTTTTAATTATGATTGCAACAAAATAGTGAGGATTCGCTGACACCATTCCAACTATGAATGGGGTTTGAAAATAGACCTCTCAACAAATTTGTAAATTGAATTTTATAACATACATCATTTAATCAAATGGCCCTTTACAGCAATCAGTTGAGTTCAAGGAATATTCTAATTTTATTTTAGTTTTTCCATTGAAATTGTGTTTATGACAGAATAAGTGAGCTATCTTTTTACAGATAGTTCCTTCTCACAGTTAATTGTTTTCAACAATCGGATTCCAGGGTAGAAGGGATTTACAACCACTTCTCTTGACATGAATTGTAAGAGAACTTACCAGCATGACATTCCGATGAGAAGCTGGTTTTTAAGTTTGAACGTCCGAAATGAGGGAATAATAACACAATTAAGTATTATATAAATAAATTTGTAAGAAAATAATTGTAAATTACTGATTAATTTGTGTTTTTATATATTCATTAGTAAAACAATTAAACATTAATAACAGATTAGTAAATTAATAATTTAATTAAATAATTTAACAAAATTTAATTAATTTATTCTATTAATTTATACAACTAATGTTATTTAGGAACATATTTAAAATAGGTGGTAAATCAAAATCTATTATGTTATGTCCACCATTTTAAATTTTTAAATTTCAAATTTTTTAAACTGCTCTTGTTCCCTCCCTTTGTTGAAACTGTGTAACACTGTTCTATGTAAATTGAAAATTATGTTTTGATTCTTTTGGATGGTCCTTAAATTACAAAATTTGGTTGATTTAGGAACGTATTCATTAAATGAAACAAAACACAATTTCAGTTTAAATTTAAATACAACATTGTCACAGCCAGCGTTCAAATCCAGCGGTCCTGCATTCGAACCCGACATACTTACAAATGGGCTTTTTTTCAAAAACACTGGCAACCTGAGGGTTTATATAACCTCTGCTGTGGCGAACCCTCTTAAAAAAATAAATAAAACTGTTTCAACAAAGGGAGGAAACTAGACTGGTTTGAGAAAATTGAAATTAAGAAATGTAAAATTGATCATGGTGATAAATGCCCTCATAATATAGACAATTGATTTACATCCTATTTTAAATATGTACCTAAATAATATTAGTCATACAAATTAATTTAGTTAAGTTTATCATTAATTTACTAATCTAATTAATGTATCATTTTAATTTTAATGTGTGGTGTTTAGTGACTATTAGTTAATGATTATTTGGAGATTGTGAGATGTGGTTTAATTTTAATTTTTAATAAATAAAAACACAAATTAATCGCTAATTTATAATTATTTTCTTACAGATTTATTAATATAATATTTAATTGTGTTTTAATTCCCACTTTTCGCATGTTCAAAATTGAGCGGCATTAAGCACCAGCTTCTCATTGGAATGTTGTGTTGGCGGGGGATTTGCGAGTTCACTCTTACAATTCATGTCATGAGATGTGGTTCCGTGTCTTTAACCTAATGATGAACTATAAGCTCGAAATATGGATCATTGAAAACAACTAACTGTAAGTGGGAGCTATCTTTTTAAAAAAATTGAACAAAACACTCACTCCGTCATTTATCATTTATATTAAATACTTATACTCTACACTAGTAGCCTCTTTTTCCTAATTGTAGATTTTAATTTTAATTATGAATATATTTCAGATCTTCAAGGAGGTCACGTTCAAGGTCGAGGTCAAGATCTCACAGATCTAGGGACAGGTCGAGATCAAGGGAGTCTAGACGAAGGGAACGTTAATATATGAACTACTATGTAATTTGCACTTCAACATCATATTTTAAATGATTATTTATATTTACAAAATGTCAGATTTTTTTTGTTTTTCTTTTTAATTTTTTTTTTTTTTTTTTTTTTTTTTTTTTTTAATTCCCCTAAAGTAGTTAATATTGGGGTGTGTACATTGTTATATATATTTTACAAATTTTCAATTTATTATTTGTAAAATAAATAGTTTCCTTTAAAATTTACATTTGTATAGTATAGGTTGTAGATTGGTTTTTAATAATACTGAACAATTTTTAATGTTTAGGGATGGTTGAATGATTAAAAAAAAATATTTCCATTCCAATATTGTTTATCCATTTTTCTGCAATAAACTTTAAGAAAAAAGTCTTTAAAAAAAAGAAAGGAGAAGAGTGTATTAAAGGGAGAAAAACAAGATTTTATACTTTTTTTTATCTCCTCCATATAAAACCCGAGATAATCGAATAATCGCAGTCCCACCACTCTTATTTCGCGAGACTTCCATGGAAAAGATAATTTACACAATAAAACCCAAATTGTAAGTATGGGTATGAGCGGTGGAAGTACTGTCAGAATGAGAGCTATCACAAATTGCCCTGTTATAAATCGTCAAGTAGGTAAGTAGTAAAATGTTTACTACTAATTTTAATAACGAGATTAATAGGTATTTCAATAAAATAATTAGTTTGGTAAAATAAAACCAGACCTAAAAGTGCTGATTAGGCCCTAGACAGGGGTCTATTGACAACAAGCTTTTCAGTCGACCTGATTTTAAATATAAATACTTATTCTTGAATGCATTATTTTACCTATTTACTTGCTTTGTTTTATTTTTATTTTTTAAATATTTGAAGACTAAATACTGTAAATTACTAATATATGTATACTATTGTACGAATCCAGTTCAATTTGTTTGTCATTATAGGATAAGACAAATGTAAAAAATAAATATGACAAATCTAATTGACAGTCTGGGTACTCAATAATCCACCATCAGCCTCCTTCTGTCACTACACATTCAAGCCAATAGTACATTTAATTGCATATATACAAAACAATTTATCAGGTACAAATTATATACAATAAAAACAGCCCTGTACTACAAAAATTGGAAGAGGGGACGAAACGACGCACTCAAGTACAATTCTCATACCTGGTGGCATTCTTACATATTTTCTATACGCAACCAAGGAACGATGTCTTTACATTATGTGGAGCACATAGAACAATCTTTCTCTGATAAGAATGCCTTAGAAATGAGTATCATATATTTATTACCTTAGCAATAGGCCTGACTTTTTTGTTATATAATAAGTAATAATTGTTTTTAAAAAGTGATTCCAGTTTTATGTCCCAAGGGGAGTCATGGACAAAGGGTCAATCTAGATAATATACGTATTTATCACTCAAAACGCTGAGATTTTTCTATGTTGTTTGATGGTGATGAGCCTATAATTTTCCCATTTCATTCTGCCTACCCTCGCGGGCTTGGTCTGTCATTGGTAAGGTAAATGAACATATTTGTCAAAGAAAATTTAATTGTAAACCCAATATCTATATTAAGGATAGACCGTCACTGTGGTATAATTTATTACTTTTTAAAGTTTACACCTGGATAATTATATTTTTTATTCCTAAAAGGAAATTTTAAATTAGCATTATTCCGAGAGGCACTTGGTTTTTATTTAAAGGGGTAGTTTATTTCAAAAACATTTTTCTTTTTTAAGCTACATTCGGGCTATTTCTTGGCCATCATTAGACATCCTAATAAGAACAGTCATAATTATCAAAAATTATAGCAATAATTGAAGACTCCTTTTAGGAAGAAGAAGAAATATATATAATTAATAAATAAAAATATATATAAATCAACTGCTTGGAATCTACAATATTTAAAAAAAAAATATTATATAACAGTTGATTATTTCCAGTTCTGTTATGATTCTATAGTTATTATATATATATATATATATATACTAGACTGCCTGTTTGCAGTGTATTTTCTCCATTGTCGGTGAACTGAGAAAAATATTTAATTACATATTAACAAATGAATGAGGATGAGGCCAATGATACACACGGCTTAAGATATACATCTTTGTGGTGTTTTAGGTGAAGATAATCTCATTTTTGAAAAAATAATTCCGCACGTGTATCTTATCTTATTATACAAATAACTTTATTACAGCAATATCCATGCATCAAAACATGTCATATTTTAAATATTTTCTTTTTAAAGAAGCTTCCCTTATTTCCATTATAGACGCTACAAAACGTTTCCAAAACAAAAAGAATGCGTTATTCTCCAAGAGAGACTGAAAGTCAGTTTGTCCAAATTGTTTAAGTACGGTAGAATATCGGCTATTTGTACAAGAGATCGATTGTCAACCTCGGTTCTTTGGGGTGAACCGCAAATAATCTTATCTGATGTAACTCAACCTTATAATTCCGATGGAGGAATTTCCGTTAAAGACAGCCTTTCAAATCGAGAACAAATTTATTTCCAACAAATTAAACATAATCAGAATTGCTTTCCTCGAAATGTCCTGTCCTGTGTCGAAATCCTGCACGGTGACATGACGTGTATTTTTATTATTCGACGTACTATGTAAATGTACTTCCTACCAGGAATATATTTTTCTTTTATATTCAGTATTTAAGACAAATTAAATATTAACTACATTTATTGTACAAAGATTTTATTTTTCTGTTTTTTAATTTAAATTCGAATTTTTCCTTTTCTCAGTCAGTAACTTTCCCTAGCCGATTTTTCGTGTACATTTTAAGAACTTTTTTAAAATTAAATTTATTTGCTTTTTAACTGCAAATATTGTATTATGTAAATAGTTCCTAAATATGCTGATTGTGTCGTATGTATGAGAAATTGTCCAGTGACAGCACTGAAACTCGTTACTAGTCACTCACTGAAGAGAGTTCGATGCCACTTTCGTTTCAATCGTCTCGGATGATTTTTCAGGATTGGATGAACTTTTATATTATTGTGGATTAGTAATTAATGAACTTGTTTGCAGCGATTTTTGATGAGGTTTGAAGATCGAATACGAATTCTATTAGATGTGTATTATGTTCTGTATTATGAGGGAAGATCAGGTAAATAGTCATCGAATGAAGAAAACAAAAAACGTGGCGAGCTTTCGTCATATATTTCTTCAGGGTCGAAATAAACAAAATACAAGTTTTTAATACCAATTGGCTCAGATGACCAATATTTTTTCCAGATACAAATTAAGATTTATAGTATAGTAATGGACTATTATCTGGACCTGAATTATAATTTCTATCTGGAAAAAGTATTTGTCATCTAAGCCATTTGATATCTGTTTTATTTAGATTCTGAAGATGTTATATTATATGACGAAAGCTCGGCACGTTTTTGTTTTCTTCATTCGATGACGATTTACCTGATCCTGACTCATAATTTCACTGGCGGATCTTCACTCACATACACGTTATGTGTTTATTTACTTTTACGGTCAATAGGCCTTGTTGATAAATGTGTAGTTTCCGGATTACTTTTTATTTCCAGGTATTAGAACTTGTGTATTTGTCGGAAATTGAATTCAGTTTTCTTTCAGCGTCTCCACTCGCTTTTGTTCATTTCAGATTGAAATATTATGTGATCTGGCAGTTTGGGTCTTTTGTTACGTTTATTCTGTTTAGTGATTTGGATTTGGATTTATGCAGGCTCAAATCCGCACATGCACGTACGTACATACATACATGTGCCGAGTTGAGCCTATTCGCTTCTCCTAGTCCACTGACAATTCCAGCTTTGCTGCTTACAGTAAAGTGCCGGAAGGCCGCAAGAATCACCCACCCGGAGTAATGGCAATCCGGGGGCAGACCTCGGTCTTCTCAGTCCAGACACCGAGGTTAGGTTGAATGTTGTCAACAGCTAGGTCAATTCAACACAACGCCTGCAGTTCCAAACCCATTCATGCACACGTTCATTGTTAAATATATTTCTTCCTTTTTACATCCATTCATTTAATTAGGGTGCTGGAGTATTCGATAGTTCTCCATCACCCTTTACAAATCTTATCCAATTAACCTAATTGAGGGTACATTCACTCTTAACACAAGCTAGGTATACACAACTATACAAAGAACAACCCCCATTCCCTCCAAGAATCGGAACGAGAGACCCAAATGCTCGCTCCCATGCTCAGGCACAATTCCCAAATCGGGTGGCATTCCTGCGCGCTCTTTGTATGGAGCCAAGGAATCGCACCTCTGTTTAGACGTCCTTTCATACGTGTGCCCGAATCGAAGTCTGGTCATAGTTATTTGTAGGTTTCCACTACCGTATTGTTCTACTCTTGTCGCCCTTCAGAACGAATAAATCATTCACCTTTTACTAATTGGTTTTTAAATTGTTCCCTAAGTACCGATGCTTCTACTTCTCCAGTCATTATTAAGTAAACAAACACTACTTCCTCAATCTATGTGGCATCAATGCCGAAGGAGCATCGCTCATCATTTCTAACACATTATTTTCAGATTCGCCCAAACCCGCCGCTGCTCTCGCTGAAGAGATCTTATGATTAAAAAATTTTCATAACTTCGCGAATAGTAATCCGTTGTTAGCGATTATTGTTTTCAATTGGTCTTAAATAGCTGTTTAATACTATGTAAAAGAAGATACAATCCTCGCGGAAAATTTTGTAGAAAACAAGTTCCTCTTTCCGATGATGCATAATAATATATGATTTCTTAAAGTTTAAACTGAGAAAATAGTGATAGTAGTGAAAAATCCTATTAATACGTTGCGTTTACTCACCCCCTCTCATTATCTCTTTCTACGCAATTAAAATCGTATAGATCCTTCTCACTCTCTATCTCTCACGCGCGCGCGCACACACACACACACACACACACACACACTTCAGCCAAAACATTTTTAATATTATACATTGAACTCGCAAATTTAGGTCGCGAACGACCTCTCTTACAATTGACAAGAAATAGAGGGGCTATAAAGATTGTAAATGAGAAAAATAGTAAGCGAGAGAAAAGGAAAGAGAAATGTAAATGTCTGTGATTTGTTATGAATTGTGTGCAATTAAATTTATGCC